GATATCATCAAGATGTTGACATTCCACGCTACTTTAAATAAAAAGTTAGGAAGGAAACTCCCATAAATAGCGGAAAGAGCAATACAAAGCTACTGAACTTGAGAGATCTATTTTTCTGAAAAATTGTTTTAAGCGAAAGATTTTATAAATTTCAACCGATAGCAACACTGGTTGCTCGGTTAAATAAATGCCGGATGTTTCCTTATAAGGAAATATCGAATATTACTATTACCATACATAGGACACTGTGGTGCTTAGGGATTGTGGGAAGGGAGAAAGGAACAGTTCAACATGCAAATTACTAACCGGAGTTACCAAAATCAAACAAGTTCAACAATATAGATATCTGGGAAATGTTTTAACAGAGGATTGAAAGTGTGACACTGGTGGAAAGTAGATCAAAGTTGCAGTCATTTTCATTTCAACTGCTTTCCTAGGATCCCTGTACTAAGACTTTTATTAGGATTGGATTTCATGCACGGAACAAACTTGTTCAGAAATATTTAAACTGCCAGCCGCTTTCTAAGTTCAACGGTTAAAAATGGCTTTGAGCGAATGAAGCAAATATTGGCAAATATTATTCTTATTTGAACATTGCAGACTGGCGCTACAGATTCACCAGGAAAGAATTGTACCAAATAAGAAAAAGGACATCACTTGAGGACTTTCAACAGTAGCAACAACTAAAATGGATAACATATTTAGCTCGAAGAGAAAATAATGATATAATCTAGTTGTTGATATTCCACAATATATCAGACAAATGGTTAGAAAGGAAACTCCCATAAATACTGGTATGAGCGATACAAAGCTACTAAAATTGGGAGATCTATTTTTCTGAAAAATTGTTTTAAGAGAAAGATTTATAAATTTCAGGCGAAAGCATAGTAGCTATTCGGTCAATGAATGTCAAATGTTTCCTAATAAGGAAACATTTAAGATTACTGATGGATTATGGGATGTAGAGAAAGGAGGTAAACGGATTTTCCTTCTTCTTTTCTTGTGGTTAATATTTGTTTTTGTTTTTTTTTTTGTTTTTGTTTTTTTAGGTTACAGCCTTGACTTTTACTGTTCTGGGTATGACGATAAACTAAATCCGCGTCCTGGGTAGGATGATAAACTATGTCCAACAGCAAAAGTCTCTGATCAGGAGGTTTTGAGGAGCGTGAAACTACCTCTTAATTGCTGGTGTTCCCAGGTCTACCCCGACCTGGGGTGGTAGCACCTGTTAGGGTCCCAGCTATGGGCAAATAGTTAGCCCCCAAACTAAGTGTAAAAATAGGTTTTAATGCCAGAAATACTTTGGAAAAATTATTACCAGCAATAAATTTTTGAAGAAAAAAAATACTATTACCAGCAAACATTTTTGAAAAAAAAATATTACCAGCAATACATTTGTGAGAAGAAAAAAAATATTACCAACAATACGTATTGGAAGAAAAGATATTACCAGAAATAGATTTTTGAAGGAAAAAAATATTACCAGAAATGATTTTTTGCAGAAAAAACAATATCAGAAATAGATTTTTGAAGGAAAAAAAATATTACCAGAAATGATTTTTGAAGAAAAAACAATATCAGAAATAGATTTTTGACAAAACAAAATATTACCAGCAATAAAAAATTTTTCGGCATTAAATAACCCATTGAGGTGTTGATATGCCGTAAAACAAAACAAAACAAACCAACCAAACCTGACCTTTATGTCGCTTATTTATTTAACCCTTTAAATGATTCATTTATTCATTTTGCCGGGCTGGAATTTCGGTCCCAACCTTTCGCTATTAAAACGGTTAAATTTAACCGTCTCTTCTACTCAAACAGCTTCTTCTCTCGCACTTCTCATCTGTGGAACTCCCTTCCTCTTGCTTGCTTCCCTGATAACTATAATCTTCAAATATTCAAATGTAATGTCAATTGACATCTGACAGGATGAGCTTGTTTCTCATCCTTCTCTGTATCCTTTACTCAAACATACCCCTTTACTCTTGTTCTCAATCCTCAGTAACCCCTTGCATGCTAGTGACACTCCCGCCTTGCTTGGGCTGAATTGCTTAAAAAAAATTGATATGGGAATTTGGAGTAGAGAAACATATTTTCCTAAAAACTTGTTTTACAAGATTTTATAAATTTCAACCAAAATCAGTACTGGCTGGTGGGTCAATAGAAACCAAATGTTTCCTTATAGGGAAACGGCAAATATTAAAAACGGCTTATATTACTATTACCATTAACCTTAATAGGAAAATGATGCCAGTTTTATGTTTCCTAGAAGGAAACATCTGGTCTTTTTTATTATCGTGTCCGACTTGTGTGTCCAAATGCCTATTCTCATCCAATCAAATCTTCCCGGTAAAGAAGAGGAAGAAAAAAAAAAAATATATATATATATATATATCCGTCCCTGACAAGGGCAAGACACGTGTCGGACGTCGACCGAAACGGAAGATAGAATGAGTGCGGTGGAAGGGATAAGGGTATTTCTGACGCCAAATCGAATTTCGGATCGAGTAAATGAAATTAATGTCTATTTACTGTTTGCTTGTGTATCCGTGGGTTGAATCATAGTCACGTCTGGAAACGTAATGTGGCCAGCTACTCTGTGTCAAAAACACTGCAGCAAACGAAACTTTCCACTTTTAGATCTCCCCTCCAACCCCAACTTCGCACACTATGACATGAAGAAATCGATGCAAAACCTTCGGTAGAACGACACGTACAGCACTTTATAGCCCGACCTCCAGTAGGCCAATTTCTTTTAATTCGGTCAGTTTTCACTGAAAGAACTATTAGACTAAGATAGTAAAAGAAAACGATTGATTCGTTTTCTTACGAGTTATCAACCTTCTGTAGGTTATTTAAAGTTGAAGCTTATGTGCGATCACAACCAATGAACTTTAAATTTACTATCGTTACTGCTCTTATTTTCTGATAATGTTGTGTATGGACGTCCGTATTTATAAAAATTAGCACGTTTATAACCAAACATAAAGCAATTCAAAATTCTTTTTAAAATACTGGGAGTCGTTGAATTGTAGTAAGCTTTTCTATTTATGATTAGTATATACTGTTTTTATTCAATAACAATATCACTTGAGCGATAAAAATTAAAACAGAATTTTAAAAGATTTAAATGTTAATAAATTATTCTAATTATTTTTTTAAAAATGAAAACAATTCTTGTAAAATGTCATTGTTCATCGAAATAATGTTTTTCATAAGATAATAGTTTCTATAATATATTTTACTCGTGAAGGCTTTTAAAAGCATTTCTAATTAAATAATGTCTTAGTTTTATTGCATTTATTTTCAAGAATTTCCAAATCAATTTGTTTTTCACCACAAAAAGACGTTCAAATGTCTCATACAAATGTATGCCCCCCCACGTTTGACGCCAGGAAAACAAATTTTAAAACTTTACAAATTTTTGCAATTAACATTTTAAAAAAATGAAAACAAAAAATTCATTATTTATCGATTTTTTTTTTTCTGAAGACCATAATGTCTATAATACATCTTATTCATAAAAGCAATTAAAATCTTATCTAATTAAATAATGTGTTTCATTGTATTTTTTTTTATTTTACAAGTCAGAACAGATTTTCTATAACTGGTGATCCTGTTTTACAAAAATAAAAAAAATAAAAAAATTAGATTCTCCAAGAACTTGTGCTTATAACTAATATAAACAATAAACCTTTAAAAAAGAATATCTCGAAATTTGATAAAATTAAATGAAAAAAATTTTTTTTTTTTACGAAGATTTTTTGCGATCTCTCCTAATCCCTGTTCTGCCAACCATTTACACAAGCTCGTCAGGTAAGTTATGCGCTGCTTTCTTCTCTCCCTCTTGCCTTCAATGTGCCCTGTGAGTGTCATATTCTTCAGACCCACTTTCCTCAGTATGTATTGTTGAAATTTCAACTGTTTCTTATACTAACTGTAAGTGTTCCTTTCGTTTTAATGTTCATTAAAATTTCCTCGGTACTCACATGTTCAGCTCATATTTTTCTCAGTATCCTTCTGTAGAACTACCTGTCTGTTGCTTCAAGTTTCTTCTTCATCTGTAATAAGACTGTTCAGCATTCGTTGCCTGGTGGGAGAACTGATATTTCATAACAGTTCATTATTCTTTTCTTTGTTTCTAACGAAATAACATTCATGGCTATCGAACAATGTTTCAAATTTGGAGATCGTAAATACCCACCTGAATGTGTCAAGATAGTGGAGGATAGGAAGAAGAAAAGACTAAGCACTAATTGTAAAATTGATTGCTTTTTACGACTTATCAACCTTTTGTAAGTTATTAAAAACCAGATATTTTTTTTGTTTTACATTGTAACATTTTTTGCTTATAATAATGATTTACTAATCTAAATTCAATAACTGGGTGTTGGGGGGGGGCGAGAGTTGAGTTCATAACTTTCCTAAGGGTATAAATGCATATAACGAAGCCAACAGGAATTTCGAAAAAGTATGGACATTTTTATTTATAGCGATTTTCCAAGCGTAGCTTAAATGTGGCACAATACCGAAAGTAGGGGGCACCCAGTGAGGATCGAACTCACTACTCAGTCAGTAATTGTTCTAGCGAGACAAACTTGTTAACCATTACACAGCCTCGAGGTGCCCTTTCACTTCTGTTTATGAATATGAATTTAAATCTGCACATTTGTATTGACAAATTATCTTTAGTACGAAACGCGGCGGCTAAGATAAATTTTCCTTTTGTCTTTTAACAGATATGTTTTGATTAACTGATTCGTTTTCTAAGGCTTATCAGCCGATTACAGTTTTAGATTATTAGTCAAAAGAGAGATAATAATGATTTAGTGATACAAGTCTTAGAAATTAACAAAGATGTCGGAAGAGAAGCGGCGGATTCGCACCTTATCCAAAGGTATTTGCGCGTAAGTGAATATATAACGAGCCCAGAGGGAATTGCAACTCGGGTCTCCGATTAACAATTTTCAGACATTATCCATCAACCCACACCCAAG